ATGGCCAAGTGCTTGGGCCCCTGTACCCGCAAAGGAAACTGGGAAGAAGCTCCTGGCTCCCGGCTCCTGCCTTCGGATCGGCCCAGCTCCAGCCATTGCAGCCATCTGGGGAGTGAACCAGAAGATGGAAGACCTTTCTATCTGTCCCTCTCTCTGACTGTAACTCTACCTCTCAAATAAATAAGCAATATCATTAAAAAAAAAAAAAAAGAAAAGAAAAGAAAAAAAACTGAAAGAAAGAAAGAGGTTACTAACAGCTTTAATTTGGGGGCTGGCATTGTGGCACAGCAGGTTAGGTAGGCAGCCACTCCTGTACCAGTATCCCATACTGGAGGTCTCATGCAAGTCTTAGCTGATCTACTTAAGATTCAGCTCCCTGTTAATGCACCTGGGAAAGTAGCAGAAAATGGCCCAAGTCCTTGGGCTGCTACCACACATGTAGGAGACCTGGATGGAATTCTGGGCTCTCTGGACTTCAGCATCTCACGTGAGTACCAATTCAAGGCCGGCTGCTCCTCTTCTGGTCCAGCTCCCTGCCAATGTGCCTGGGAAAGCAGTAGAGGATGGCCCAAGTGCTTGGGTCCTGACACCCATGTGAGAGCGCTGAAAGAAACTCCTGGCTTCATCCTGGCCCAGCCCTGGCTGTTGTGGCAATCTGGGGAGTGAATCAGCAGATCGGAGATCTCTGTCTCTCCTTCTTTCTCTGTCACTATTTCAAATAAATAAATCCCAAAAACAAACAAACAAACAAACAAACAAAAAAACAAAAAACTTTAAACTAGAAAGCAAGTTTATTACATACATTTTAGAAAACATTATATATCAATCATACTTCTATTCCAGCTCCTCCATTTGTGTGATGTTGGAAAAATTACTTAACCTCTTAATATCAAATCTACTGTCGTTGAAGTGGAGATAACAGTGTTCAACTCCGATTTGTTGTGAAGAATGCCTGTAAATCACTTAGTATCATGTGTAGTGCAGTATAAATATCCGATAAATATTAGGTACTATGAATAAATGTTCCATATGTCTGTTGATTCAAAGATAATACAAATGGGGATACAGAGATAATCATGGTCTAGTCTTCGAAAAGATATTCTTGTCAAAAGTTTCTCGTGGACTACACAGCAAATTTTTTTCTTTTTTTTTTTTTTCTTTTTTGACAGGCAGAGTGGACAGTGAGAGAGAGAGACAGAGAGAAAGGTCTTCCTTTTGCCGTTGGTTCACCCCCCAGTGGCTGCTGCGGCTGGTGCACCGTGCTGAAGCCAGGACCAGGTGCTTCCTCCTGGTCTCCCATGGGGTGCAGGGCCCAAGGACTTGGGCCATCCTTCACTGCACCTCCGGGCCATAGCAGAGAGCTGGACTGGAAGGGGAGCAACCGGGACAGAATCTGGCGCCCCGACGGGGACTAGAACCCGGTGTGCCGGCGCCGCAGGCAGAGGATTAGCCTATTGAGCTACGGCAGTGCTGGCTGCAAACTTTGATTATTGTAGATCAGAGTTTCTCAACCTCACATCATTGATATGTTATATAATTCTGTGTTGGGGAGGCTATCCTGAGCCCTGTAGGATGTTTAGCAGCAACTCTGGCCTCTACTCATTAGATTCCAGTAGCAGCCTTCCTCAAGTTTTTGAATTGCAAAACTTGAGTTTGTACTATTGCTGTGGACCATAAATGTGAGCATCAAGGCCTTAGAGGGGTTATCAGTTTCCACTCCTCCTCCCCCAGCCTTTCAAGCGAATGGAAATAAATCAACAAAATTTAAAAAAAAAAATCAAAAGTTTCCTAATGCTTACAGAATTAGTGCATTCCCTAGAAAGATCCTTTACGATCCAGCCCCATTTTACTTCCCTTATGTCACGTTCAGACACTCTACATTCTTTCCTCTCTCTTCAACCTCTGAGTCTTAAGCATCCCTGACCACAGCATCAAGCTGTCCTTCCCTAACTGCGTCCCCAACAAGCCACAGGCTGGTACAGCCTTTTTGTTGATACTTTCCCTTCACATGGGATCTTCTTCCCCACTTCAACATTTTTTTTTCTTATTTATTTTCATTTTATTTGAAAGGCAGAGAGACAAACAGGCAGAGATCGTCCATCTGCTGGCTCACTTTCCAAATGTCTCAGCAGTCAGGGCTGGGCAAGACCAAAGCCAGGAGCCAGGAGCCAGAAACTCAACGCAGGTCTTCCATGTGGAGAGCAGGGACTTAACTACTTGAGCCATCACCTGGTGCTCCCAGACTGTGCACTAGGAAGCTAGAATTGTAAGCATAGACTAGATTCAAATCTAGGCACTCTGCTACGGGATGTAGGGGTGCCCCAAGTGGCATCTTAACTGCTGTGCCAAATATCTGCCTCTCCCTATCTTTTTCATCCAGTGAGTACCTATTTCAGGATCTGACTCCAGCATCCCTTACCCAGTCCACATCTGTATTCCCAAACAAAGCCTTAAAAGCATGCTGTGGTAGTTCACTCCAGTGTCTCTCTTGATAGATGGTGAGTTCCGGGAGAATAGGGATATCATATTTAGCTCTGAATCTTCAGGGCCTTAATGCAATGTCTGAATTTTGCTAGAAATTTTTTTAAAAAATGTAAGGTCCATGAATTATTTGAAGAGCATGACTCTGCCTGTCAAAAAGATCAATTTACCATTCTGGTAGGGAGTCTGCTCCTTCTCCGCTGATGCCTAAAATTCTCTCCTTTGCTTCTCCTTTGGTTTAGAGAACAAAAGACTACAAGGCAAGGTCTGAATCCTTTTATCTCTATGTCTTCCTCATTCCTAACATGTGCTAAGTGCTCAAGTCTCCAAGAGCTGCATTGAGAATTATTTCAATCATACAAATTACCTGAAACAAGAAAATTAGGGGAGAAAATAATGATCTCTTACAGAGACGCTGAGTCCTTTCCTTCCAAAATTATCATTATAATGGCCCAGCGCTGGCCATTATAGACATTTGGGGAGTGAACTAGCAGATGGAAGCCAAGTGGTTAAGGTGATGGACTGCTAATCCATTGTGCTCTGCATTCATGGGTTCAAATCCCAAAATTATCATTTATTAGTGTTTTGTTCTTTTTTATCTTTTCTTTCTGCTTTTTTTGGCTGTGGGCTGATATACTCCAAAGGCAGCCACCCATGTGTCATCTTTTCATCTAGTCTTTAAAAATAGAAATAAACAAATTACTGAATGTATTTCAAGGCCAAGTTTTCTCAAAATGCACAAAACCAAAACAGCCAAAATGCTTTCCCCTTATGGAAATCATAGAATATATATGTGTGGGGGCCGGCGCCATGGCGTGGTGGGTGGGGCCACTGCTTTCAGTGCGGGCATCCCATATGGGCGCCGGTTTGAGTCCCGGCTGCTCCACTTCTGATCCAGCTCTCTGCCATGGCCTGGGAAAGCAGTAGAAGATGGCCCAAGTCCTTGGGCCCTTGCACCCCCATGGGAAGGCACAGAGGAAGCTCCTGGCTCCTGGCTTTGGATCGGTGCAGCTCCAGCTGTTGTGGCCAATTGGAGAGTGAACCAGCAGATGGAAGACCTCTCTTTCTCTGCCTCTCCTTCTCTCTCTGTGTAACTCTGACTTTCAAATAAATAAATAAATATTTTTTTAAAAGAATATACATGTGTGTATCATTCTAGAGAAGAAAATGTAGAGACCTTCTCTTAAAGGCGAGTTGGAGAAAATTATAAGGAAATGAAATCAATTCATATGAAATACAATGAACGTGTTGTTGGCTAGTATGTTGGCACAGTTTCAACAAGGAGCATTTAACTCTGGCAACAAGACTGGAGAAAAGACCAGGATACTAACACACAGCCACACACACTATTATGGTAGCATTTAAAACAGGGAGAAGCAGAACCACCAATTGTGACCTTCACATGATCCTTCCTACTTTCTAACTGACCAAAGCTGGGAACGCAAGTGGAATTTGTCAACACAGCCTTGCCCATAAATTCATTAAAGAGGTTGGCACAAAAGGTCTTACAGTTTAGTAGAAAGCTCACATGATAGTGCACATAGCCAAATATTTTCCAAACTCCAGAATCATTCAAGTTTCATTCATATGATTAATTTTTTACCTTAAAATGGACTCACATAAAATGGTTTTTTACTTAAATGAATTTCAAAAAACAACAGTCACTGCTGTAAAGAGAAAATCAACATCACTTGTGGAACTTGTCCACTGAAGGAACTTTGTGAACCCAGATTACACTAGCTGGGTCCAGTTTTGGCCTAGAGCACCACTAGAGAGAGGTATTCAAGATCACTGACCCCAAACTAAGTCTCCCTGATAAAAGTGAAAAACATTGAAAGAGGAAATAATTTCCTCTGGGGTCCGCATGGTAGCTTGCAGGTAAAACCACCAAAATGGCTGCTCCTCTTCCTATTCAGCTCCCTGCTGAGGTTCCAGGGAAACCAAGTCTTTGGCCCCTTCACCCACATGCAAGACTGAAGAAGATCCTGTCTCCTGGCTTCGGTCTGGCTCAGCTTCGGTTGCGTGATTTAGGGAGTGAACAGTGGATGGAAGATCTCTCCCTCTCTCTCCCTCTCGCTCTCTGTAAAGTCTGCCTTTCAAATAAATAAAAATCTTAAAAAAAAAAAAAAAAAAAGAAAGGAAATATTTTCCCACCCTAGGACTCAATGTCATTTAATGTTGGGTCCCTGCACCTCACCTGAAATCATCTCGTTCCAGAAATGCTACAGAGCCCAAATCACCCATCTCCCTCCAACCTGATGACTCCCAAAAGACCTTAATTCCCACCCTGCCTCCACGAAGCCCAAATGAAAGGAGCAGAGCTCCTGATCTGGTGGAGCTGGCAAACCTTGGCATGCGCCCATTCAGAGAACTAGGTTTAGAAAACCTGCCAGCTTCCAAAATTGCTCATCTCTGAAGGAGAAGGCCACTTCGCTCCCACTCACTTTGTTTTTTCAGACAGAAGGACCCTGCAGCAGTTGAAGCCTCAGGTGGCTGATTGTCCCTCCAAAGGCACTTACTTGGCAGAGGTCAGCACAGCCATTCAGATGGCTGCTGTCTGGCCCTCGCTAGACAGAATGACTTTTCTTCTTGGGCTTTGAGGCTGGAGTGGTCTCAGTGGGGACGAATGGTTGCCCCGGAGTGGCTGGAGGTGCAGCCTCAGAGGCAGGTGACGCGGTGTCGGGGCGCTGTCCTGGAGGTGGGGCGGTCTCAGAAGCCTGCGCAAGTGGCTCCGTAGGTGCCTCCAGGCCAGGTGCAGCCTGACGTAGAGAAATCTCCTGCACTGCACAGATGCTCTCAGTGGCCTGGGGAGGCGGAAGCAGGGCCCGCCCAGTCTCTGAATCCGCTGGGTCTACAGTCTGGAAAGCCTGGTCAGACAGACGCTGCAGCACAGGAACCTGGGTGCCCGCAGCCTGGGTTCCAGAAGCCTGAACAGGTGGAGGCTGAGGTCCAGAGACCAGAGGAAAATTCCAGTGCTGCCTCTGTGAGGCCACAGACACCACAGGTTGGCTCTGAGAGGACACAGGGACCCGGAGATGGCACTGAGAGGCCGCAGAAGGCAGAGGCTGGCTCTTAGAGGTCACAGGGACCTGGAGATGGCACTGAGAGGCCGCAGAAGGCAGAGGCTGGCTCTTAGAGGTCACAGGGACCTGGAGGTGGCTCCGTGAGGCTGCAGGTGACATGGTGTGGCTCTGAGAGTTCACAGGTGCCAGAGGATGGCTCTGAGAGTCCATAGGAGCCAGACAGTGGGTCTGAGAGGCCCTAGTGACATGGTGGCAGCTCCGAGAGGCTGCAAGCAACACAGGTTGACTTTCAGAGGTCACAGGGACCTGGAGGTGGCTCCGTGAGGCCACAGGTAACAAGGTGTGGCTCTGAGAGTACACAGGTGCCAGAGGATGGCTCTGAGAGTCCATAGGAGCCAGACAGTGGGTCTGAGAGGCCCTAGTGACATGGTGGCAACTCCGAGAGGCTGCCAGCAACACAGGTTGACTTTCAGAGGTCACAGGGACCTGGAGGTGGCTCCGTGAGGCCGCAGGTAACAAGGTGTGGCTCTGAGAGTACACAGGTGCCAGAGGATGGCTCTGAGAGTCCATAGGAGCCAGACGGTGGGTCTGAGAGGCCCCAGGGACGTGGAGGAAACTACGAGAGGCTGCCAGCAACACAGGTTGGCTTTCAGAGGCCACAGGGACCTGGAGGTGGCTCTGTGAGGCCATAGGGCCTAGGACGTGGCTCCGAGAGGCCTCAGAAATTACAGGGTGGCTCCTACACGTAGAGAAGGCTGGATTCTGAGTGGAAGAAACCAAGGGAACTACAGGCAGACTCTTAGGGAATGAAACAGTAGAAGGCAAAGGCTGGTCCAGAGTGGACAGAGGGAGAACGGGCGGGACCAGATGAGGCAAGGGTTGCCGATCAAACCATGGCGGACCTGAGTCAGGGCTTGGGGGTCCAAAGGACTCTGAACTTCCCTCGTCTTCAGGCGTGCTGCTCAGAGCCCCTTGGCAAAAGGCCTGGCAGTGGTCGCTGTCCCTGTCACCTTCGGCTTCTTGCTCGAGCTGGCCGGTACCGGTCATCCCCGGGGCAGCCGTCCTCTGCAGGGTCCTCCAGGAGCGCCGCCGCTGCCGCTGTCGCCGGATCCGCAGAAAGCTGTTGGAGAGGGTCCCCATGGACCAAGAGAAGCGGTGGCTGACGCTCTGCTGCAGGGCGCTCACCATGTTTCTGGAGGCCAGCTGGGAGGTCAGCCCGAGGGTCTCTTCGGGAAGCAGTTCGATGTTGCCGGTGTACCAGGAGACCCACCAGAGCAGGCTGAGGAAGATGATGATGGCGCCCATGTAGAGCAGCATGTCGTAGAAGATCAGCTCGGCGAAGATGCCGACGAACAGCATCACCGCCCCCACCATGTCGAAGACGACGCCCAGCCAAAAGAAATGCCTGCAACGGCCCAGACCCGACCGCTTCCTGCTCATGACGGTGGACTTTCTGTAACCTCCGTGGTCTTCCAGATCCGCGAGCGGCAACCGGCCGGGCGGCGCCGCGGTGGGCCGGCTCGGGCCGTTGGGTCCCCATGGCAACGCAGAAGGCGGGGCGAGAGGGAGGAGCAATTGGGCTGCGCTCCACCTCCCGGAGGAGAGAAGGGCCTCGGCCCGGAGCGGCGCGCGTGCGCAGTGCGGCCCGTCGCCCACGCGGCCGCCTTTTGCGCCTGCGCGGCATTTCCTCTCTGGGCGTCCGACGGGTTTGCCTCCCGTCAGCGGCCTGGCATCCTTCAGGCGCTTCGTGTCGTGACGTTAACGTCTGCGATGGCGCGCCCGGCTTCGGGCCGCGGTCCCTTCCCCGCCGTGTTCGCATCCCCTCTGCGCGTCCCTCACCGGTCTGAGCGAGGGCGAGACCCTCCAGGAAGGAGCCGAGGACGCGGACCTTCCCGGAGTTCCCCTCACGGCCCAGCGGCACGTCGGGCCCGGGCGCGCCCCTGGCTTCAGCGCTCCTGTTTTCCCTTTGTTGTTTGCCCGCGGGGACCGCAGGAACAGACTCGTGCTCGGTTATTGCAGACCCGGAGGTAAATTCTCTGAGGGGTTTCCACCGCTCCGATGTCTGCTGTTGCGAAGTCTGTGGACCTGTTTGCCCAGATGCTTAGTCCTTGAAAAAGCGGGACTGCTTTCCCCTTACTCCCCCCGGAATAGGAAAATAGAAAACTGTCAGAAACGGAAAAGGGGCCAGCGCTGTGGCCTTGTGGGCTAAGCCTCTGCCTGCGGCGCCGGCTTCCCATGTGGCGACGGTGGGAGTCCTGGCTGCTCCTCTTCCGGTCCAGCTGTCTGCTGTGCCCTGGGCGAGCAGTGGGAGATGCCCACGTGCTGGGGCCCCTGCAGCCGCGTGGGAGACCTGGCTCGAGTTCTTGGCTCCTGGCTTCAGTCTGGCCCCACCTTTGCTGCTGTAGCCTTTTGGGGGAGTGAACCAGTCGGTGGGAGATTCTCTCTCTCATGCTCTGCATTATAACAGGTCAATAATTTTATTAAAGATTTACTTAGTTATTTGAAAGGCAGAGTTACAAAGAGAAACAGGGGGAGACAGAAAAAAATCTTTTAAAAACACAATGTTAAGTTTAAATAAAATATTTAGAGGCAGGCATTTGGCAGCGCAATTACGATGTCCCTGGGGACACCACATTCCCTATCAGAGGGCCTGGGTTCAAGTCTGACTGCTTCCAATTCCAGCTTCCTGCTAACGTGCGCCCGGGAGAGGCAGCGGTGACTGTTGGAAGAGTTGGATCCCTGCCATGCATATGGTAGCTCTGGGCTGAAGTCCTGGCCTCAGTCTGACCCAGCTTTGGCTGTTGCAGGCATTTGACGAGGTGGCGGGGTCGGGGTCAATCCGTGGATGGAAGACCTGCAGCTCTAAGTCTCTGCCAAAGCTAGGATCCTGGAACTCAACCTCGGTCTCCCACGTGGGGTGCAGGGTCCCAGCCACCTGACCCAGTGCCTGTTGCCTCCCAGAACGCACATTTGTGGGAAACTGGATCAGAAGTGGAGCAGCTGCTACAGCCCAGAGTCTCGGATATGGGACACCTGTGTCCCAAGTGACAACTTACTCACTGAGCCAAATGCCTGCCCTTAATCCAGTGATTTATACATTTCCAGTTTCCTCATTTTCAAACTCAGAGAGTAGATTCATGTGCATTGCTGGAGTTTTACATGCCTGAGGCATACTTTCAAAGTTGCATTCTCCCATTGTAACCAAGGAATAACCCTTCAAATAAGTACGTGGCCTATAGTCATATTGTCAGGTATTTTCACTGGAGAGCTTTATGATTTTTTTCTATTAATAATGTTCCGTAATGATAAACTGCCTAATATTCCACACCAATAAACTTACATAAAAATGTGTAAGGAATTGATTCCCTATTAGTACTGCAGATTCCTTTTTTTTTTTTTTTAAAGATTTATTTACTTATTTGGAAGTCAGAGCTACACAGGGAGAGGAGAGGCAGAGAGAGAGAGAGAGAGAGAGAGAGAGAGGGCTTCCATCCACTGGTTCACTCCCCAATTGGCCGCAACGGCCAGAGCTGCACTGATCCGAAGCCAGGAGCCAAGAGCCTTTTCCGGGTCTTCCACGCGGGTGCAGGGGCCTAAGTCCTTGGGCCATCTTCTACTGCTTTCCCAGGCCATAGCAGAGAGCTGGATTGGAAGTGGAGCAGCCGGGACTCGAACCGGCTCCCAGATGGGATGCCGGCGCTTCAGGCCAGGGTGTTAATCTGCTGCACTACAGCACCAGCCCCTCCTTT